CGCCCGTGTACGCCGTGCGCTGCACGCGGCAGGCTGCTGCCGAGCCAGCCAATGACCGGTTTGGTCGGACCCCAGCCCGGTCCAGACCGGTTCAGACCGGCTGGACTGGTTCAGCTCCATTTTCATCCGGTTCGGCCTATTTAGCCCGGTTTAGCAATTAGAGTCATTTTCAGTAAATTTCTGGGATTAATTCAGTTCATTAAAATCATGTCCAAATCAGTTCAGATTAAGTCAGTTCCGATCAATCTGGATAAGTCTAAAAATCAGATTAAGTTAAATAGAGCATCTTAACGAAATTAATCAGTTAAGTTAACAGTATGAGCATAGTCAATAGTAATTGTTTATATTATTTTCAGTTTAGCAGGCATCAGCACTACCTTTCAGTTCAGCAGTTCAGGTGGGGACTCAGACTAAGTACTACATTGTTTATAATTACGCTACCATGTTCGAGGTATGTATATTCAGTATCCGCTCGGAATGGTCGCCGGTCCATTCTGGGTTCTAGTGGCCTAATCTAACCACTAGAGTGTGCACATGGTCGGGTGTTAGTTTGTGCCGGGAGATTGCGGCATTAGTTTGTGCCGATCAGATTCAGTTATCAGTTACGTGACTTACGTCGCGAGTTCAGACCAGTATCAGATATCAGTTTCAGTTCAGTTATATATGCTTAGTTCATGATATTGTTATTATTTACAATGTTTTACATTAGCATGAGTTTCCACGGAGCACAGTGCCTTAGTGCTCACTCCCCAGTTTTATCATGTTTTTCAGGTCAGGATGTCGTGCCGGGAGTGTGACGTGGCGTGACGGACTTTCAGGATATTTATATATGTTTTGGACTGTATAAATATGATTATGACTTACGCTTCCGCTTATGTTTTGATGACCTGTGATGATGTTTTGATATCTTTTGACGTACGCTTTTGACGAACTCATCACTTTGACGAACTTTTAAGAAAATAAAGTTTTAAGTAACCGGACGTTTTTATTAAGTTAAAACAACGGTTTTTCTAAGATAAGTCATGATTTTTCACGGTAGCACCCCGAATCAGTTTTCGCAAAGTAAAAAGGTTTTATTTTCAAAGACTTTGCGAATTATTGCGCTACTCTGATTTTACAGTAAGGTGGGGTGTTACAATTGGTATCAGAGCACGTTTTTGCGTCTCTGATAAGTTTTTCAATCAGTCATTTTTCAGAAAAACCCGAACCGTCATGCTCACGCCCCGCCGACGACAGGTAAGTGCTGGTGCAATTCAGTTTTTCAGTTATAAACATATTACTTTGTCTATGCTCAGAATTGAGGATCAGAACTTTAGTTAAGATGCTCGAATCAGATTCAGACCTTAGAGTTTGGACATGACTCTAGAATTCAGGCATTCAGATATGACTCTAGACCTTAGGATCTTCCTATATGACTCTAGAGTTCTTCAGGTTTCATGTCAGTATTTATCGGCCATTTTTGGCAACTCGTCAAGAGATCTGTGTGCCTCAGTAATCAGACAGTAATGCTATCGCATATTCAGTAATATTAAATCTTTCTCAATGTTCAGATGCCGCCACGTAGAGAGCCCGATCATCAGGGTCCTACTCAGGCTACGGTAGTCGCTCAGTTCCGCGACTATCATGCAGAGAAGTTTTCAGGACAGGGCGACCCCCGTATCGTTGATGAATGGATTCAGGGGTTGGAGTTTATCTTTGAAGTTATGGAATGCCCCGATAGGTATCGCGTAGTTTGCGCTCAGCTTCAGCTCACTGGCGATGCGAGGCTCTGGTGGAATGCCTACTGGAGCATGCGTCTCGGTGAAAAGACGGGTTGTACGTGGGACATGTTCAAGAATCTAGTCCGCGACAAGTACTACCCTTCTTACTATCGGGCAGAGATGGAGCGCCAGTTCTTAGCGCTTCAGCAGGGCACTCGTACTGTCGATGAGTACGAGCGAGAGTTCACCAGACTTGCAGGTTTTGCACCGGATCTTGTTCGTACGTAGGCTCAGAGAGCGCAGCGGTTTATTGACGGAGTTTACCCAGCAGTCCGTCATAACATCGTGGGACACGGGACACAGACGTATGCACGAGCAGTCTCTATCGCCCAGGAGGTAGACGCTAGCATCAGGAG